GGTTGACTAGAGGAAAGAAGCCAAGTGAAATTGGTCTTCACAGCGATTGGCAAGAAGGACCTCTCTTTCTCAAACAACCTGAGAGCGAGTGGCCTATTTCTCGTAATTATTCTGAAGTAAGAATACCTAAGACAATTATGAAAGTAGTCAACATAGTGAATGTAAGTGTTAAAGACGACTTGGCATCTAGAATCAAGATCGAACGATTCTCGGATTATAACCGTCTACTGAGAGTGACAGCAAGGATCTTAAAGCTTTATCACAGAGAACCCAAGGCAACCTTAAAGAACGCAACACAGGAAATAACAAGTAAAGATGTAAAGACAGCAGAGGTATTCTGGATTAAAGAGGCACAACGAAATATGAAGAACGATATAAAGCATGGTACTTACAGATGTTTGTGTCCTCGATTACGAGATGATGGTATATATGTGATAAGTGGCCGTGTTGAAAAATGGCTAGAAATCGGCTACAACAAGGAAGATATCATACTTCTACCATATCAGCATCGATTTGCTCGACTTTACTGTGACTACATTCATGCTAAGGGGCATCACGGAGTTCTTACAACTGCAAGCAAGATCCGCGCAAGGTTCTGGATAACCAAATTACTTAAAATCATCCAATCTGTAAAGCTCAACTGTGTGACCTGTAAGAAACTTGACAAGAAACTATCAGGACAAGTGATGGGAAACCTTCGTAAAGAACGACTCAAGCCTGTACCCCCATGGTATTCTACATCAATTGACTTATTTGGACCCTTCACGGTCCGTGACGCAGTTAAGAAGCGTACTACGTCAAATGGGTATGGGGTGATATTTAATTGCATTGGAACCAGAGCTGTATATTTCGACCTTGCACCAGACTACATCACAGAAAGTTTTCTTATGGTGTTGCGCAGATTTGTCTCTCTTAGAGGATATCCATCAAAGATCTATTCCGACAACGGTGCGCAGCTTGTCGCAGCAAGTCAGGAACTTAAGAATGTGACGAAATTTTGGGTCCTATCTAGACGAAACACTTTTTTTTCTTAGAA